GGCTGGGCCATGGGAGTGGGCTGCTCGACGAAAGCAGGCTGGACCACGGGAGTGGACTGCTTGTCGGGAGCAGGCTGGGCTGCTCGTCGAGAGCAGGCTGGGTCACGAGAGCAGGCTGGGCCACGGGAGTGGGCTGCTCGACGGAAACAGGCTGCTCAATGCACGGTGCATGTGAATGCGAGGCTTGGGCTTGGGTCCACGTAAACTTGGATGGCACGGTTTGGGTCGTGGTATTGGTACCGTGAGCCTTGGATGGCACGGCTCGGGCCGTGGTGAAAGCTCCATGGAACTCGCCACAAATGGCTACCGAGGTAGCCACCGCGATGGTTCCCATGGTGGAAACTCGTGGTGGTGATGCTGCTCCCCTTATTGTCGCATTTTGCCTCACGGATCTCCGTAATCTCATTTCTTGTATATTAGAATTTTCACTTATGGAATTTTCTAAATTTCTAGCCATTATATTTTGCTTATACGTTTTATCAAAGAACCTTTGCAAGTAAAAAATTCTAATAATAAGAACGTATGAAAAATATTCAAATGGACTAGAAAATAAAGAAAAAACCTTTTTGTGCGAGAGTCTTCTACGAGTATGGATTTCAACTCTCAATGAAAGCACCAATTTGTGGATGCACTCCTCTTCGATCTTGGACGATTTTGCACCTACAAAACAACTAGCACCTTAGGTTAAGGCCAAGAGCCTCATGCGCCCACGATGAATGGGGGGGGCTTTGGCCGAAGAACCTCCGATGCCAAAGTTAGAATTTTAGAGAGAAATAGTGTTTAGAATATTTGGGATTTTTTGTAAGAGAATTGGAACTAGTGTTTTGTGAAAATGGGACCCAATTTATAGGAGAGGAAAGGGTGATTTATTTTGGGGGGTTATGGAGATAATGGGCTAGTTATTTTGGGGAGTTATGGAAATAATTGGCTAGTTTATTAGCAAATAGTAATAACCTAATTAACTAGCTATTTGAATGTCATAAAAAGGGGGAGAAAATGGCAACAACAAACAGAAAGTAAAGGGCATGGCCGGCCCTAGTGGGTTTTTGGTTATAATTTGGAGGTTTAGTTGATAATTAAGGGATTGATTAGGTAATTAATCCCTTAATTAGTCAATTTTAGGAAATATGAAAGGAATAAGTATATTATTTAGCTAATTGATTAGCTAAATAATGAAATGGGAAATATATGAATAAATTAGGTTTTAAGTTGATACCTATTTTGGGCACTTTTGACTTGGTTGAAGGATAATTGTCTGCTGATTGCACGTAGGAATCCCGGTATACCTCAAGGGTAGTTTTGTCTTTTTTTGTCAAAAATCTACGTGTCGCCTTGTGATTATTTTTGGCTCCACAAACTCCACCTGTTAAATCACTTATTATTGACAATTGACATTTAAATTTACAATCTAAAATTGTAATTCATTTAGAGTATCATCTTCACATTCATATTGTTTATATCTACTAGTTCTCCTTTAATTTGTTTAATATAAAAGAATATAACAAACTTAAAGAGTGCATGTGCATTAATTACTCCGTCTTTGTGTACATTCGCGTCATAAAATTCTGGTTCAACCTATAAACTGTATAAAATGTGGATTAGTTGTGGGACCCACTCCACATTGAATTTCAACTATCTGAATCGTTTATTTTGTAAGTCTTGATTCATAGATCATCCTTACAAAAATTCAATTCAATATGAAACCATTTAACTATTAATTTCATTGTTTATTATAGAACAAAGTGTTCGTTAATTTCTTTAAACCCATTTAGATATCTGAAGTATATCCGATTTGGCTATATTTTGTAAGGATGATTTATGAGTTACAACTTGAATAATAGACGGTTCGGATCGTTGAAGTTCAATGTAATATGTATCTCACAACTAATCCCTATTTAAAGAAATAAAAAATAAAAATAAGCATCCCTTCGCTTAAAGGGATACACACACACACATCCTTGTACATGGGTTTCTCAACCATGCATATTTCAAACTTCAGACATATGGTTTGTATGTATGATCACGTTGTTCCATAAACATGCTCAATTATGTAAATGCCTTGGCATCTTGGACAATTTTATTGAAACTTTAAACAATATTTTCGTCAAGGTGTGCACGTCAAAAACATATAGCAATAAATTCCACCACTTATTTGGTAGATTAGAAGGACAATATTATGATCGAGGATATCTGAGATAAAGTGAGAATAATTGCAATTGAAAATAGATGAAAAAAAATCTATTAAAATGGTTGGACATGTGAACCGAAAGCCTACAAATTCTCATGTTAGAAAATGCTCCTTTGACACAAAGGTTTAGGGGTAATAGGGGTAAATGATGACTTGACACAAAACCGAGCACAATGATGTTTTAGGATCATACAATCAACCTGCTTAGTGGGACAAAGCTTTATTGTTGTATTTGAAGGATTTGAAGGAATTATTGAGTTTTTGCAACTACATCTGAACCAGCAGTGGTGGTGTTACATATTTTCAATGCTGGGCCTTGGGCATTTAGTTTTCCCATTAATATCCCAACGCCATTGCCAACAAGTAAAAGGGCAAAGGAACAATAATAATATGCAGTTGGCAGGGAAATGTTTTCCAATTTCCGTTGTCTGAATAGTTTTTTTTTTCTTTTCCTTTGACTTGTCACTTGTTCTTTCTCCATATAAACCAAATTCTCGTCCGTAATGGAGGCAGAATTTAAATCCTACCCGTCTTTTTTGCTTTTAGATCACCTAACTCTTACCATAGATTTCTTCCTTGCTAAATCATGTGTCATCAATAAAAATGAATACGTTTATCAACCCTTAAGTAATAAATCAGTCATCGACTTTCATGTCCTTTAGTTTCTAAAATTTTGTCTACAAATTTAGTCTGCTTGACATTACCCTTTATCATATACGTGTAGTGTTGAAGACAACTTCCTAGCTTGATTGTAAATTTATGACATTTTCTCTCTATGTTATATATTTTACTTTTTTGGGAGCTCAGAAGATTTACAAAGATATTTCAGTCTTCCCTTAACCATTATTATGTGATTCACCAGCGCCAAGGATCAAACCCAAAACATGCTGTATGGAATATGAGTCTGTAATTTGTCTCCTACCATTGAATCATTCCTTGGTGGTTCTAGATTTTGGTTTGAGTACGTCACATATTTTCTGACCATCGATGGCAGAAATTGCAATATTTTTGGTACATGAAACCGACTAGGGTTTGAAAGTCCACAATTTTCATACGATATAGAGAAGACAACAAGACAATTTAACAGAAGCTATTCTGATGAAAATGTCACTTTCAGTGGGGTTAAGAACTGCCATGCCATATTGATGAAATGAAGTTCTCATGCTACCAAAAAATATACAAATTAAGAAATTGCATTTACCCTCCATTTATCATATTAACCATATGATCAAATACAATTCTGACCTGAAACATATAAAAGTTTATATGTTCTGTCGTTCACATACGGAATTGCAAATGATGGTCTAGATTGTTCTTATCTTACAATGCGTTAACAATTAGGATTGTAGGCGATTAACCAAAGCATTCCTAACCAATAATGCATCAATGATCAAGAATTTTGGAATATCAGAGCAGCCATGACCCACAATGCATCAATTGTTAGAAATTTTGGATATCAACAATGAGGAATTGTAGATGATAATCATCAAATATCTTACCTACTATCTATCTACAGTAGGCGACTAACAGGATTAGCTATGATCAATTATGAATTAACGATTATAAATTATGAGCAACTGATAGTGTCAACCTCAACTAAGAACTGTGGAGAATTAGAATGCATCAAGAGTTAGAAATAACGAGACCTTGGCAAAGAACACACGAGTATAGCGAGCAATGGCAATGGAAAAGCTTCCACAAAATAGGCAATGCCTCACCTTTTCGACGAAATGGTGGATAATGAATAAATGCTTCGATTTAAATACATGCCGTTTTTTAACTCCGAATCACCCCAACAGGGTGGTAAATCAGTAAAATCACACATTCCCAACCGTTTCATTTAAATTCCCACGAAAACAACCCACACGCGCCAAACCTATAAACAAAACCAACCTTTCACACTTCACAGTGGGAATGTTGGAAATTTGATTTTTAGTGGGCTCAAAAATATGTTTGATTCTTTAATTTATAAAATATGCTATTTTTGTATGTGAAAATACTTAATAGGTCTTATAAAGTGAGAACCTCTTAGAATTTTGCGCTTGAAGTTGATAGGCTGAGAAATTCCGACCACTTAATTTAAATCATGCGGTCCTTATTAGCTTATCTCACTGATACACCTCACACAAAAATAAGTCTTAAACCGTCCGGATGTCATATGTTCTGACATCGAAAAACGTGCAGAATCGATACATGACGTTAGGAAGTACCTATTCAACTATTACGTCTCGCTTTCGAGTCATAATTTAATTGCACTCAATTTGTTTATCTACCTTCAATTGCCACTCTCCAGTATGTCTTAAGCTCATCTCAAGTGATTGTCGAGTCATTGTGTGTTATTTACTTCTTGTTATATTATTCGAGAGATGTTGAAAGGGCTCGAGTTGTTTTTGAAGGGTCTCAATCAATAGTACCAAAAAACAGAGTTTTCTTATTTCATATGTGAAAAAGAAAACAAGGACATCAATTATTTTGAGCCTCTAAAAATAGATAAATTTGAAAGTTCCCCATTTCACGATTAATTCCAGCCGTTGGATAAGATAGACGCTTCATCCGTGGAGCGAATAAAATTGATTTAAATAGCCGCGCGAGTCGCGGTTTGATTTAAATAGCCGCGCGTGTCGGGGTTTGAAAGTTCCCCATTTCACGATTAATTCCTGCTCATTGTCTTTCCCGCGGCCATTAAATGAACCTCTCTCTCTGTCGTCCTGCACAAACTGTGAAAAATATTAACCGTCATTTTAGAGAGAGAAAGATGCAATATTTTAGCGAGAGAAAGTAGAAGCTCTCTCTCCGTCTCTGTCTCTCTCCGTCTCCGTTTCTCTCTCACCCGTCACAACAAACTCCAAGACTTAATTAGAGAAAGAAATTAAATGCAGAGCTCCAACCACCATTTCCAGCAATCAAACATGTCCATCTCACATTCACACTCCACTTTTAATTAGCCTCTCTCTCTCTCTTATCTCCCTCTTCAGCCAAAGCCTCCGCATTTTTCTGAGGCTAGGGAGAGCTTTTGGGGATTTCCGATGTGGAACTCGGCGGAGAACGTGTTCGCGAGATCGGGGTCGTTTCAGGAGGGAGGGGACGATGAGGAGGCGCTGCGGTGGGCCGCGCTGGAGCGGCTCCCGACCTACGCCCGAGTACGGCGCGGCATTTTCAGAAACGTCGTCGGAGACACTATGGAGATCGACGTCGGCGAGCTCGAGGCTAAGGAGCAGAAGCCCAATCTCGACCGGCTTGTTAGCTCCGCCGCCGACGACCCCGAACAATTCTTCGATCGCATGCGCCGCAGATTTGACGCGTAATCCTCTTCAGTTTTACTGGATATACTGTGATTGACACTGTTTGGCTGCTGAGAAATTCAGTATACAGTGCCTAATGCGATTATTTTCTCAGCAACCAAACGGAGGATTTTCTTTTCGTCCTCTCCAATTTCGAAACTTTTCTCTTGTACTTAATTTGTGTCTGTTTGGCTGCTGAGAAAATGTCGGCAGAGACTGCGAGTACTGAAGTTTCTGTTTTCTCTCGTTTTCTCAGCAACTAAACAGATATTCATTTTGTCCTTTTCAATTTCGGAACTTTTCTTTTGTGCTTAATTTGTTTTGGTGTTCTTTATTTGAGTGTGCAGAGTAGCATTGAATTTTCCGAAGATCGAGGTCCGATTTCAGAACTTGAAGGTTGAAGCTTTCGTCCATGTCGGAAGCAGAGCGCTGCCGACTATTCCCAATTTTGTTTTTAATATGACGGAGGTATAAAATCATTCAAATTCTCCCCTTAATTTTCTTAAATTACATAATTTTGTGAAAGATTTGTAATCTTTGCATTTTTCGGATGGCGTTTTAGGCAATTGGTATATACAGGGGGCAGAGAAGCAAATTAATTATTTTAGACAACATTAGCGGGATTATAAGACCTTCAAGGTAAGTTTTTTAAGCTTCAGTCAGTACTCGGTTACTGAATTTCCAGTCCAGTGTTTACGAAAAGGACTTATAATCGGGATGCCATGGTAACGGTATTTCAAGTCAATTGATCTCGTGGTAGTGTTGGATTGGCTTTGGTTACTTGGTATATCGCCACATTGGCATCAGAATGTCTATGTGTTTACGCCTAACAAGCCGTTGGTATTGTCTTCTAGATTGACATTACTATTGGGTCCACCAAGCTCTAGAATGACTACACTACTATTGGCTCTGGAAAAGTCAATTGGAGAAATTGGAAGGAACACCAGATGGAAAAATAATAAAATCATTAAGAATAAGCTTTAAAGGGCTAGATGATACAAAAAAAGCTATATTCCTTGAGATGAATGTGGATTTTCAGCAACAGTAGAAACTAGTGTCCTTCGTGAACGATGTCTTGAAAATGTTGAACGCAACAAGTTGAATATGCATGATTTGCTTCGAGAAATGGCAGAGCAATCATTTCGAAAATTCCCCTGGTCATCCTGAAAAATGGAGTAAGTTGTGGAACCCTCGAGAGGTGACCGATGTGTTGAGAAATAAATTTGTAAGTACATTACCAATAAAAACCCACGTATGTCTATATACATTAAACAACATTCATGTGTATGTGTAGTTGCACAAGGAAAGCTCAATTAACCAACAATAATACTTGCATATATTCACCGTACGTGACTATATGGGTTGATACTTGCATTCCTCTCTTGGAGTGATGAGCTAATTCCTTTATTTACAAATTTTATAATCGGAGATCGTTTATGAAATTTGTACAATAAAGAAACGTAATTTGCAAGTGGTGAAATAAGCTCATCACCTAAAGGGGGATGAAGTATAATTCGTTAGGCAAATTCGTGTAAACATATGCAAATAATGCTTTTGTTAACAGGGAACTGAACAAGTTGAAGGACTTGCTCTAGATTCCCTTGATCTTTGGTTTCAAAACTCTAACGAGTATACTTTCAGTACAGTAGCATTTACCAATATGAAGAAACTGAAATTTCTTAAGCTCAGCTACGTAGAGCTCAATGGAGAATACAAGCATCTTCCCAAAGAGTTAATATGGTTGTCCTGGCATGGATTCCCTTTAGAGTCCATACCAAATGACATTTTAAATCAAGAGAAACTAGTTATGAGATAGGTCTTCCTTTTGGATATTAATTTCAATTTTCCTTTCCTTTTGGGAGCAGCCTCTTCATAAATGGGGGTAAGTCTAGCCGACATTCACCTCTCTCAGACCCTGCGTAAAGCGGGAGCCTTGTGCACTGGGTACGACCTTTTTTTTTAGTTTTTCTGATTACCTAATTAAATCACTGGACTTTTCACAAGTCCCAAATCTTGAAGAGTTGATATTGGAACGCTGTATCAATTTGTCTGAGATTCACCCCTACATTGGTCGTCTTAAAAGACTTTCTTTGGTGAACCTAAACGGATGCAGAATGCTTAGTTCTCTTCCAAGGGATTTCTAAAGGTCCAAATCTGTTCACTCTGTCTTAATTACTGTTCAAAATTCAGTAAACTGCATAAGGATTTAGGGGAGATGATATCATTGAGAATACTTGAAGCAGAGGAAACAACCATAAGAGAAGTACCACCTTCCATACTAAGATTGAAGAATCTCACTCGCTTATCTCTAACCGTAAGGTTTGGGTGTGTTCATTCTCCCTATTCGTTCCACTGCTATTTGTGCGACATAGATGATGATGCAATCGTTATGGGTCTTGGGAGTCTAATTTCCTTGCAATATTTGGATGTTCGACGAAATGATTTTTATGCTCTACCCAACCTCAGTAGTCTGTCAAAGCTTGAAACTCTACGGTTAGATCAACGCTTTAACCTTCATACAATCCTTGATTTACCAACAAATTTGAAATTTTTGTACGCCTCTAATTGCCCTGCATTGAAAACAATGCCCAGTTTTTTGGAAATGTCAAATATGAGAAAACTGAATGTAAGGGAGTCACCCAAACTCTCATTGAGGTTCCGGGCTTGGGTAAGTCATTAAACTCCATGCATGGATTTATATGAGTAACTGTACCAATTTAACAGCTGATTTTGGGAAGAGCATCCAACAGGTATCTCACTCTCTCTTTCTCTCTCTCATCCCAATATTTGACAAATACTACTCAGAATTCGCACAAATACTTGCCCTGCCCTGCTGCCACCACATATTCCAAGAATTGACTTTTAATGTTAGAAAATCAATGATAGCCAGTCAATAGTTTCTACTACCTTTTCATTAAACTTGACTTGCCCTAACATGTTAGCAGACGATTGACCACACATTTTAGTAGAAGAACTTCTAGCTTTTCTATTACCTCTGCAGTCGATGAACTCATTTGCGCAATCAGAAAATAGTTTTCTGTCTGATTCTCCAAAATTATCGACGGAAGTTATTTGTAAGATCGGAGAGCTGTTCCTGTTAAAGATTAAAAAGCTCATCAACGATGGTTTTGCTCAATAGAATATCTCGGAAATCTTCTCCACTTCCCGTTCACTATGATTGATGTGTTCATAAGCTTCTTCTAAAGTTTTACTGTTTTAGTTTCTACTGGCGAAGGTGCTCGCGTGATGCTGCAGGTTTTAAAACCATATAAAATATGTCAAAAGTTTTAAGTATATATACGATATGCAATATTTACACACATGTAATTCATGTATTCTTCACCATTAATCGAACAAACTGACAAAATGAAAAGCAAAAATAAAAAAACTACACTTCACTACAGCTTCCATTTTATTAGTGCTTATTACATCCCTTACCTGAAAACCAATTGCGAACCCCAGCCCATGTTCAGTTTCTTTGGCCCTAACAACTTCCATTAAATATAGCTTAGATATCTCTGTAGGATTTCAATTAATAAAAAAAGAAAACTCAAAAGAGAAAAAACAATACAATTAGCCGCAATGTGAAGAACTATCTCACATTGATTAAATAAGCCTAAACCAAAAAGTGAAAAAAAGAAGTTTTGATAAAAAATAAAAAAAATTGTACAGTAATTGAATTATTGAAGATTTAATGAACATTAGAACTCCACAGATGCTTAACTAAACCACAATTTTGCCCATTGCCCCGAAGATTGATTCCCTATCAGAATTGTTGTAATAAAATAATTTTGGCAACTATGGAGCTATTAAAAAAAAAGAAAACTAACGAAAAGTCCAAAAAAATTTAGTTTTAATGAAAAATGACAAATAAAGTAAAGGTGTAGTGAATGGAACCGTGAAAAAGTAAAAATATGATTTTTCGTTAAAAATAAATAGTACCTAGAGTGTTTCGTTAAAACTCTCTTAAAAAAATTGGGATGCTTTGGTCTTTTCTTTCGTTAAAAGACTCTGCGCTTCAGTTCAACAATGTTGCTCCAAAACATTTTCAAAACAGTGTTAAAAACAAAAGTTGCTCGCTCAGCTAATATTCTTCTTCATGGGTTGTGGCAACAGATTCATCTAAAGAAAAAAAAACACTGGATTGGGGGAAACGCTTTCGAATCATAGATGTAAAATTATACTAAAACATAAACGCCTGACAGCAACTCCTTATTTTTCAATCTCATTTCATTAAGTATGTGTCAAATGCAAGAAAAATTCAATCACTGACAAAAAAATTAAAAGTTTACAATCCACACAGAAATCCCAAATTGCAAAACAGTAAAATTCAACAGAAAACCACCATTCATTTCATCATTACAAAACAACCCAATTCTTCAAAAAATAAAAAATAATTTGAGATTGGATACATACGTACCTGTCATTAAATCTCTCCCTCGTCAATTTCTCACGGCAAGCCTTTGCCCTGATCTAGAGCACAAATCTGTTCGTCCTCTTGATACCAAAACACCACCAATCAAATAATCAATTTCGTGACAATCAGTTTGGAGCCATAAACTGTAAGTCGGGACCTAAAACTTCCAAATTCATTGTAAATGTAGTGGGCGAGTTTAATCTATACCAGAAAATACCTTAGTTTCAGGAACGACGTCGTGTGGGGTTGCCGGGATATGAGAATACTCCTCAGCTGCTACCTCACCATAGCCGTCTCTGAGCCCAAGTTCCAAAAGCCGCCGACTCCTCAAATTCCTCGTAAAATCTTAAATTTTAATGAAAATCCATTAAATTTTAATAAAAATGACAAAAGAACTTAAATTTTAATAAAAAAATGCATAATTTTAATAAAAATGACAAAAAATCTAACGCGCAGACTCACGGTATACCGTTTATGTGTAAGAAAAAGGTATGTAGGCTAAAAAGCATATATGTTATTGATACGTGAATGATATTATATACAATTACATGCCTTGCATAGCAAGGAAAAATCCCTACAAATTAGGAATACAACTACAATTAGGACTACAATTACACAAGGACTCCAACCATATTCCTTATTTGTCTAACACTCCCCCTCAAGTTGGAGAGTGGATGTCAAGAACTCCCAACTTGCGTAACATACTCGAAAACTTTTCTTTCCCAAGAGGTTTGGTAAACAAGTCTGCCAACTGTTGTGCCGTACCCACATGTTTGGTCTCTATTGTGCCATCTACAATCTTATCTCGTATAAAGTGACAATCCATCTCAATGTGACTAGTTCGTTCATGAAAAACAGGATTGGCAGCTATATGTAACGTTGCTTGATTATCACAAAATAAACTGGAAGGACCAACCAAGGAAATGTTCAAATCCTTCAACAAAAAATGAAGCCAAACTATCTCGCAACAAGAACCTGCCATAGCCCTATATTCTGCCTCTGCTGAAGAGAGCGAAACAGTTTTCTGTCGTTTCGTCCGCCATGAAATCAAAGAACCGCCCAAGAATACACAATACCCAATAGTCGAACGACGAGTGATATGACAACCTGCCCAATCAGAATCACAAAACGCAGTTAACTTGGTCTGGTTGTCAGATCGAAATAATAAACCTTGACCTGGAGTAGCCTTCAAATAACGAACAATACGAAGCGCTGCATCCATATGAGATATCCTTGGCTCGTGCATAAAACGGCTTAGAACATGCACAGAATAGGTAATATCCGGCCAAGTTATAGTGAGATATATTAACCGACCTACTAATCGTCGATACCTTTCAGGATCCTTGAGAAGTTCTCCTTTATCAGATAATTTTGTGTCATCCATAGGAAAAGCAATGGGTCGTGCTCCCAAAAAACCATAGTCCTTGAGAATCTCTAATGCATACTTGCGTTGAGAAATATAAATCCCTTGTTTGGAACGAGAAACCTCAATACCCAAAAAATATTTTAAATCACCAAGGTCTTTTATCCGAAAATGATCACGGAGAAAAGACTTCAGAGAATTAATGGCACTAGCATCATTGCCTGTAATCACAATATCATCCACATAAATGAGCAAAGTTGTGAAAGAAATACCAGACTTTTTAGTGAACAATGAATAGTCAGCTTTGGATTGTTGAAAACCAGCAGAAATGATGGCACTAGTGAATTTGGCAAACCATTGGCAAGAAGCCTGCTTAAGACCATAAAGTGACTTGTGAAGGCGACACACAAGATTCTCCCCCTGTCGCCGAAGACCAGGAGGAGGAGACATATAGAGTTCTTCATGTAAGTCACCATGTAAGAAAGCATTATTAACATCAAG